TTTTATCTCCATTGTTTCCTCTTTCCTTCTAATTAGCAATTTAATTCTTTCCATTCTAAGTTACATCTCTAATGCATGCCATTAATGACTCCCACTTTGTAAAATAAATGTGTCAATTCTTAGTACTTAAATCACTAGTACTTAGTACTTGACGTCTCTGATGACTTTGATGAAATTGTTCACCATTCTTTGGAAAATCCACCAATCTCTGAGCTGCAGTGACACTATGGATAGTCTGATTTCCTTTTACGGTAGCACTGTCCTCTCATTGTTCATTGATTTGCTCAAGCGGGCACCAGTAACGTCTCCATTGTGAGACTTGTCACTGTTTTTGGCATATCGAATATGCCATGAGGAGCTTGCCAGGCTCTACCGAGCGGGTGGGATACTCTCGGTAGCTTGCCAGACTCTCCGAGAGGGATGGAGGAATCGAACCTGGGTCGGCCGCGTGCAAGGCAAACACCCTATCAGCTGTGCTATTGCTCTTTTATCTTTTAAAATTGCTATTCATTATAATTTACAGGTTCCTTCAATTTTCCAAACATCAAAACACTAAAGTGACTCCAGAATTTGGAGGTTTTGTGTGTGTGTGTGTGTGTGTGTGTGTGGTTTTTTGTTTGTTTTATGGGCTATACCTTGTGGTGCACACATGTTTTTCTTGGGTGTGTGATCAAGGATCATGCCCAGGAAGTCATGGGGTACTATATGTGGTTTCAGCTATTGAACCAGGCTTGCCACATACAAGGAAATTGCCCTACCCACTGTACTACTTTTTTATGCCCCAGAGTATGGTTCTGTGCTTCTTTGCCAACTTGCACGATCTGCTTAGGTATGCTAACCTACATTAAATGCCATTTATATTCTGGCGACCCCTAAGTTAATAATCATGTTCTAACTCTCTCTTTTACTTGATACATAAAAATTGGAACATCTATTCTTGGCTGTCTGTAGACACTTGAAACTTAGTTCTGATCTCTTCCCTATACCATCTATCCGCTTGTCCTACCTAACTTGTTAGCCTGCTCTTCCTTATTCCAGATAAAGGCTGTGCCCTTTGTGCATTTGCTTTGGAGTGAAAGAAAATATACACAACAAATCTACTATTTTTCTTACACCACACATCTAGTTCAGCTGTTAGTCCTATAATAGTAATCTAAGACACATCTTGTCTTTCCTAGAATAATGACAAAGTTCCCTGAGAGGTCCACTTTTACTCTTTGCTCTTCTTTAAAAACAAATTAGGTGGCTGGAGCGATAGCACAGTGGGTAGGGCATTTGTCTTGCATGCGGCTGACCCGGGTTTGATTCCCAGCATCCCGTATGGTCTTCTGAGCACCTCCAGGAGTAATTCCTGAGTGCAAAGCCAGGAATAACCCCAGAATCACAAGGCGTGATCCAAAAAGCAAAAATCAATAAATAAAAAAATAAAAATAAATTTGATTATTGTAACCCACCCATTTCTAAACTTTCTTTGTAACTATAACTAATTTTAAATACATTATATAATATATTCAACACAATACAATTATAATAAATATTGACTTTTTTACTATGGCTTTCAGAGAATATCTGGAGACATTTTGTTTTTGCTTTTGTTTTCTGGGTCACACCTAGAAAGGCTTAGGGTTCTACTCCCTGCTCAGTTGAGGTTTTTCCCTGTAATTTTCTAAAAATGGTGAACATTTATAGCTAAGAGAAATCTGATGCGGAAATACAACCTGGGTTTCCTCCATACAAAGCATGAACTCCAGATCATTGAGATATCTCCCCCACCCACTTTCCTGAAATCTTATTTTACCTCTCTTATCTATGTTTCATCACAGGAGTCCAACAGTTTTCTTTCTATCTCTTGATTATTTATTTCCAGCTCATATACACTTTAGGTACCTTGGGTTATATTTTTATTTTTCTATCTCTGGCTTTCTAAGTGATTGTATCATTGTTTTTGAATCAATGTTTATATTTCCCCAAAATGCATATGCTGAATCTTATTCACAATGCGGTGGTATTTATGTGACTTTGGGAGGTGATTAGGTTAGGAAGATTCCATAGTGATCAATGACTTAATAAGATCTCCAGAGAGCTTAGTCAATCTTTCTTCCATATGAGGACACACAGAGAGAGAAAAGCTATCTTCGCACCAGAAGAAGAAACTCCACAGACACTGAATCTGCCTGATGTAGACACTGAGTCGTCTAAGTCATTGAATTCCTAGCTAATTCCTTTACTTTCCTGACCTACAATCATACTCTAGTCTATGGCCCAGTTTTATTTCATGAAAGTAATCACCACTTGGCCTTGTTTTACTTTTATATGTTTTGGGGTTTTTTTTTTTTGTTTGCTTGATTCATTATTATTGTCTGTTCCACTCTTCCATAAACTCTATTTGGACTAGATCTGACTTTCTCATAACTCCTGTATCTAAATAATAGCACATGAGTATGATTTAGTATGTAACATTTATTGAATAAACAAGTGAATGATAGTTCACCACAATCCACTTTTACTTTAAGGTAGGGAATGGAAGAGATTACATTCATTCATTGATAAATTTCTCAATTTTATAAAGCAAATTTTTGGTTTGAAGTATTTCACTTTGATATCAAATATTTTAATCTATATTTCTGTTTTTCTATGGCTAGTTTGGGTGTGGGCTGGAGCGATAGCACAGTGGGTAGAGCGTTTGCCTTGCATGAGGCCAACCGGGCTGACCCAAGTTCTATTCCTCCGCCTTTGATTCTTCTGCACCTCTTGGAGAGCCTGGCAAGCTACTGAGAGTATCTTGCCCTCACGGCAAAGCCTGGCAAGCTACCAGTGACGTATTCGATATGCCAAACAAATCTCACAATGTTACTGGGCCCGCTCAAGCAAATTGATGAACAACAGGAGGACAGCGACAGTGACAATGACAGTTTGGTTGCAGAAACATACCTAATGGATTATAAAACTCTTTCTTGCATATTCAAAAAATGATTTAAATTCTGCTTGTTTTAGCTTAAATAGGCCCAGTGAGAAAAAAAGTTATGCAAACTTGCATGATTTCACATGATTTATCCTGTGTCTTAGGAAAAAGAACAAAATAGACTCATTTAAGGTAACAACTTGCCTAAGGTAGAAGGTTTTCAGAATTCAGTTCTAATCCTTTAATTTAAATTTACTAGAGGGGAATGATTTGAATTATCATTCTTTGTCATTATTTTATTTATTTTATTTATTTTATTTATTTATACATTACTTAATAGATACCTAAATGTCTATATTAGATGTCTAAGGATAGAAACAAAATAAAAATTCTGTCTTATGTGATTTTGTGCAGCTATTCATAATTTTTAGGGAAAAATAAAGGAAAATTAAGTACAATGTAGTGTTTCTGCAAATGTCACTTATTCAGTAAAATGTAAATATTTCGGTAAATTTTAGAATTTTCAGGAAACTTTCTCTCAGAGTTTACTCTAGGCTTTACACTCAAGGATCACTCCTGGCAATGCTCTGGGTACAATATGAGGTGCCGGGGATTGAACCTGGGTCTCCTTCGTGCAAGGCAAGTGCCCTACCTGCTGATGATTGAACCGGATCATTTGCCTTGCACATAGCTAAACCCGGTTCAATCATCAGCATCCCGAGCTTACAAGGAATAATCCATGAGTGCAGAGGCAGAAATAAGCACTTAGCATCATGTGACCCAATACCACCACCAACCCCCAAAAATGAATTAAGTAAAATACTTATTAAGTGAAACAAGGAAACCCTCTTCTACAAATGGTGCCTGGAAAGCTAGCCAATCACATGCCAGAAAAATGAACTCAGATTCCTATCTAACCCCATGCACAAAAATAAAATAAAAATGGATTAAAGACCTTGATATTAGACATTAATCCATAAATTTTACTGAGGAAACATAGGAAGAAAATGACATGGCATTGAAGCCAGAAGTATCTTCAGAATCACTGACCAAGGAAACTAAAACAAAGATAAACAAATAGGACTAAGAAGCTTCTAAGAAGCTTCTACACCCAACGGAAATAGAAGTCAAAGTAAAAAGAAACCCCAGACTGGGAGAGGATATTTGCCTACCACTCATTGAATAAAAAGTTGGTATCCAAGATATCTAAAATGTTAGTGGAACTCTACAAAAACAACAAAGAACCCCATCAAAGAAGGAATGTAAATAACTGAAAGGTCCATGAAAAAAATGCCCTGTATCACTTATAATCAGGGAAATACAAATCAAAACTACAATGAGATATAGTCTCATGCCAGTGAGACTGGCATATGTCATTAAGAACTAAAGCATCCAACACTGATGTGGATGTGGAGGAAAAGATACCCACAGTTACAAAGATACAGTGGTATGTAAACTGGTCCAACCATTTTGAAAAACAATATAGATACATCTCAAAAAATAAGGAACTGAACCTCCATATAATTTAGAAATTCCACTTCTGAGCATCTACTAAGGGTTCAAAAAGTCAATTTGGAAAAGATATTTGTACTCCTATGTTCATTAGAGCACTCTACAAAACTTAAAAACACCCTTGTCCATGATTAGATGACTAGGTAAAACAAACAAACAAACAAACAAAAAAACCAAAATGACAGTACATGATAAACACAGTGGAATACTACTCAACTGTGAGAAAAAATATTAAATAATGAAATTTGCTGCTACATAGATAGAGCTGGAGATTATCATGCTAAGTGAAGTCAGTTAGAAGGATAGGGGCACATATACAATAATTTCTCTCAGATGCAGATATGAAGAAACAGAAAAGACAAATAACAAATGCCCAAAGGCATTCTCTACAGAATTGTCCAGTAGGAAAGGTAGGGAGAATAGGTGAGGGACCCTAGTGCAATGATGAAAGAAAGCAGGCACCTGGGTGTGCGCTAGGATAGTTTACGTATGAAATCAGTTCTACGAGGAACAGTTTTCAAACCATGGTACCCAAAATTAAAAATTTAAGAAAAAGTTGTTTTCATAAACCACTCAGGATACTTACATCAACAATCAGGAAATCTAGCCAGCACCAGGCATTAGTGAAATATGTTTGAAATCCATAAGCTACCCATTTGAGAAGCATTTCCAGAATGAATATGTAGGTGAAGACCTTGTCAGCGTACTCAAGCATGGTTTTGATGGTCTTTCGCTGTTCAATATATATATCTTCAAAAGCCTGTGAATTAACAATGATTTTATTTCACTTATATGGCTTGCCTCTCCTACGTATTAGATGAGATTTCTTACTGTGCTATTGGACACAAAGCAAAAATTTGGTAAATGTTGACTATTATAAAAGCATCATATCAAGCAAAATCTAAAGGCAAGTCAAAAATATTGACAAGTAAATGTTACTATCTTTCTTAATTCAGTATGTCCTATCATGTCTGCCTCCCACTTCAAAATCTCTTTCCAAGCACTGATATAAGCATATAAAATAACTACAAAAAATGGAGTGATAGAACATCTATTACAGCATTAATTTCTGTGATTCCCTGAATCATCTAGCTTATTTTAAAGAATAAATTGATTAGCTACAAAGAAACTGAAATACACTTTTAGTCCTTAGTTGCTAATATGATTACTAGGGAAAACTGGATTGCATTTGACATGAAAGTTAATGTAGTTACAGAATGTCTCTGTAAATGGTTGCCTCCGTGAAGAAAACATCTGCTAGATAAACAACAGATGAGAAATTCCATCTGGCTCTTTCATGGTTCTGATTTAGTCTGTACTGAATTTTGCACTGTTAAGCTTGTGGTTGCCAAATACTGTAAGGTACAGATATACCTTCTCTGTTCTTAAGTCCTACTCTATGATTCTGATAATTTTGGAGAATAAATTATTTTTCTACATGACATTTTTGCCTATGTACATTCCACTTACCAAAGCACCACTGCTGAGAAGGATCATGAAGACAATAAATGTCTCAAACCAATTGTGTTCTACAATGCTGTAACAGGTTTTCCGAAGATTCCACCAGATCTTTCCTTTTCCCTCTTCTATACTTACTTGACAGAATGGAAACTTTTTTATACATCCTAAAATATAAAACTAACTGTTAGAATAATTCATTTAACCTTAGGAAAAAATAAAGTTTTCTTTTTCTCCACCCTAATCTCAGAAAATAATTGCATAGGGTAATTGACTACTTCATTCCCTAGTTACATTCAGCATACTTTGTATAATGAATCATTCTCAGACTTACACAGCTCTCTAGATCTCAAGGAATTACTTTATTCAGAATTGCTTGAGTGAAATGTTTTCAGTCTTTAGCACTAGTTAGGAGTGCCACTTCAAGACTATTGGTAGAAATAGGGTTGAAGAACACTCCCTAGTTGTTCTCAGGGAAACATATATGACTAATTGTTTGTTTTTGATTTCAGAATGCAACAGGTAGTATTTAGTGGGAACTATTCCCAGCTCTGTGCTCATAGGTCTCTAGTGAGTGCTTGGGGAAATATACTGAGCAAGGGATTGAACTGGGGTCAGGTACATGCAAGGCAACTGCCTTAACCCTTGTACTATCACTCTGACCCCACTGTTTAAATTGTTTTTTCACTTTTTGATTTGATCATGGGGTTTTACTGTTTTCTTTTTATGCACAGAACCCCCTGCCCCCCTGTCTTTTGAGGTATCAACCACTGTCAGTTTTCCCAAGCTAATCTATTTTCAGCCTCAGTGCTTTTCTTAGTCACACCTATGACTCATCTTTTCACTCAGTATATCTTATTTTTCTGTCCTCCCCCTCTTAGCTTCCACATTATTTCAAAGTTACATCCAGTCTTTTGTTCTAATTCTGATCATGGAATTGAACTAATTGCATTAGATCAACAAATCTTTATTGATTTGTTCTCATTTGCTGTGCCATTTATTATGAAAGCAGATATGTTCTCCCTGACAAGGCTGTATAACACATCTACAGCCAAAATATCTCTGGTCACATAACAAATTAGTCACATCTGAAACTGAAAGGGTTGAGGTATAATTATTTTAACTTCAATAAATCAGATCATGCTCTGACCAATGAGATTTAGAAGGGACTCCTAACCAATGAGATCACATCTCAAAATTGGTTTATCTGATAGAGATAGTTTCCCTTCATTCTGGTGGATTAAAAACATTTGAAATCATCTTTGTTTTCTAGTAACAGTCACTGCTTGAGTATAATAGAGAAATATGTAATTTTTAAAAAGAAATAAGAAACAATGATAAACATGACTTCATTATTTCTATGAAATATTTGCTTCAGATTAGGTTTTAAATTTCTTTACGGAAAGAGGAAAGAGTTTTTTTTTTTTTTTCTGGTTCTTGAACCACACTTGTCAGTGCTCAGGGTTTACTCCTGTCTCTGAGCACAGGTATCATCACAACATGGAGTGTCCGAGATTGATCCCCAGCTGGCAGTGTGCAAGGCAAGTGCTCTACACTGTTCTTTTTGGTTCCTTGAAGATTTTATTTTATCTTTTGTACTTTACCTTCTGTAAAACAAGCTTCTGGTTTAAGGTCTTCCTCTTGTTCAATTTCTGCCTGTTCACCTTCTCGGGGTGGAGCAATGTCAACTGTACTTCCTTCAGATGAACTGGTTGCATTTAATTTCTGAAAACAAAACCCCATAGCCAAGTCGTGATTTTGAGCCCATTTTATTCAACTAATTTGGGAAAGATCATTATAGTGCAAAAAATGATAGTGATAGCATTTGATCTTATTAACATTTTATAAGATCAAAATGTTATTTTTATCATGTACTAATAATGTAACATAATTAAGACCCTACAATTCAAAACAATATAACCATTAATCTGATTCACCCTCCACACACGTACACACACACACACACAGACACACACACACGCACACACCCATACTGGATATGTCACTGTGGGTGACTTGAAGAGGATGGTTTAGAATGATTATGTTGTTTCATGATCTCCATTTTTATATGAATGACATATGAAAATGATTTGTAACATAATACACAGGCTAAAACAAGTATACTTTGATGAAAGTTTGGTATGCTGACATCTATTGATTATATTAATTAAAACACTTAAAACTGAATTGTAATTTACACCACTTCTGGTGGAAATTTTCAGAGGGCAAAGAACATTACCAGTTGGCTCTAAGTACTGTCCATGTTTCTGTAATTTTAGAAAGGAGGAATGGAACATTAACATTAGTCACAGTCATTATATTTCAACTTTGAGCTATATTTTTCTCTAGCTTACATAATTTTCTTCTTTACTAGCAGGAACATGATGGATTTCTTTCTCTCCCTCCCTCTCTCTCTCTTTCTCTCTCTCTCTCACTTCCTATCTCTTTGTTCCTATCTCTATTTTTTCTTCAGCAAATGCTTAAATGAATTGCCAAAGAATTTTAAATGAAATTGAGATTTCTTCATAAGTGACATTGTCCAAAGTGTATGGAATTTTATTAGGAGCACATTCTAAATTAAACACGTGTTTCAGTTGTGAGTTTTTTCTTTAAATAAATCATGGTGATATGCCACATATTTAAGGAAAGCATTTTTATTTTACAGAAAAAAATATCTAATCAGTACCTTAAGATCACTTGGGAGGGCATTATGGATAGATACTATTTTATAAAAACTTATGTAAAGATGTGGAATACTTTACAACCCAGGTAATGCAAAGCTTTTAGAATGCAAGAAGAACACAATGGACATGTTAATGGTTTCAGAGTCCCCATTAACTTGAGTAGCTAAGTGGTAAAAGACTAAAATACCTCAGTCACATAGGTCACTTGAGTAGCTAAGTGGTAAAAGACTAAAATACCTCAGTCACATAGGTCACACTGGAGGAAATTTTGCTTAAAATTCTTGGTTACAATTTCATATTTTATAAGGTGAAATAAATGATTAGAAGTCTCCAAATTATACTTTGTGTGATGTCCCTTTGAGGGTGAAACTAATTATCTCCCACTAAGTATAAAATTTACTTTAAGTCAAAAATTAATATTGTACAATAAACACCTTTAATAAAACATACCTCTAAATTGGAGGGTCTTGTTAATCTATATTTGTCTATCTAGAAAATGAGTACAATTTTAATGGCCTCCAGTCTCTTGCATTTCTCCCTTCTAATCATGACTTGTCCCCCTCTTTAAGTAACAGGAAAGGGGGATGTCTCTCTCAACTACCAGGTCTGACCTGACAGTCAAGGGATCAAATGAAGACTTCTTCAAAGATGGGGGGGGCATCTAGCATTAAATAAGATTTTGATTCTTTCATTTCTTATTCATATCTATATATTTAGTCAATGCCTCTTAAACACACTAATACAATTTGCCTCATTCAAAATCCATTTTAGCTCCAAAATGTATTAGCACAGAATTTTTACAAGGTTTTATTAATGACCGATAAAACATATTTATTACCACAATGAGATTCAAGTACAAAATAAATTTAATGCAATGTAATATATTTTGTATTCCAGAGTTGAAAACTTAGTTATGTAAGTGAGAATAGGTATTTTAACATATTGTATTAAATGGTTTTAATTTATATATTGGATAAAAAGGTTAAGATTTTTTATCAATAACAAGTTTATTTTTACTGATTTATTTTCTGATCATTATAACTGCCACTTCTTTAAGTTTTCTTGCAGGAAGCAATATTAAATAAATTTGTTATGTGCCAAGGGGACAGGTTGGATTGGGAGGGAATCTTGAGACATTGGTAGAGGGACGGTACACTGGTGGTGTTAGAACACTAAATTTCTAAAACAACTGTATTGGGAACAACTTTGTAAATCACAGTGTTTTAATAAAAATAAATAAAAAACCCAGCAAAGCAAAATGATCCCCTAAATCCTTTTATGGTAGACTCTGATGCAGTACAGATTGGACATTCCATCTGATTTCCACCGAGGCTCCAGGGGCAGACTCAACTTTTTTTTTAGAGTACTCCACCTGCAGCCCCAAACTTGACCACTTTTAGCAGAAAGATGATTCCTGACACAGTTGGAGGTCTCTGCTGAAGAAGGGGGAATAACAAGGATATGGGAACACAGGACAACAGTAATGTTGTGGCCTTGATGAAAAGGAATCATCTGGGACGGAAGGTCACAAAGGAGGTCTAGGTAGTGCCTGACAACCTGGATAACCCAGACGTTGCTGGATACAGACACCTAAAGATAGTCATCTCAGCATTCTCTCCTCTGTTTTATTGGCCAAGATTCCTAGAACATAAGTAAGAAATGTTCATCCACCCATCTTTGTTTAAAGGGTACAAAATGAAAGGCTTCTGCCTTTTTTTCTGAAATCCTCCTTTTGGCGAACCCTCTCATAATCTGGGAATTTACCTGCTTTTCTTTCCCTACCTTTCTCTTCTCCCAAATGGTCTTTTCTGAATCCGGGCGGGGGGGTGAGGGGGGGCGGGAAACCCCTTTAGCTTAGGATATGTTGAAGAGAGAACTTAAGCCATCAGTTTAAATTGGTGGTTTTCAGGATTAACATAGTATAAAAATTTTCACCATTAAATATCTCTCTCTCTTACTAGCGTGCTTACTCGCTTGCTCACTCTCGATCTCTCTGTCTCTCTCTTTTTTTTTTAATTGGGAAGGTCAGGATATATTATCATATCCCAGGAGTTTTCTTTTTTTAGAGAAATTTTATCTTTATTCCTGTAAGAAAATTCTTGTGGAGCTATTCCTGGATAGGGTAGCAGCAGCTTTTGGTATGATGAAGAAAATAAAGAACAACTTTCTGGATTCAGTGTCTAACTCTACCCAACCAAATGCACTGGTGGTTTGTGGTTAGATACTGACTTCTAAAAGTCAACATCAATAATACCCACTGCATAAATAAAACCAGGAAGAGGTCAGATTACTTTGAGATTAATTGTATGTTTCTTTTTCCTACTGGTTAATCCAAACACAGTAATAATTTTCTTTGACCCTGGTCTTGGTTCTCCTCCTCCATGAAATCTTTTGTTTTTTCATCTTATTTTTCACAATCAATTGTAGGAATATTTGGTTCATTATACTCATTTTCTTGGCCAAATAGATTCAAAAGTATTTACACATATTTATATACACATAAATATATTTGTTCACCTATCCATAAATAAAAATATGTACATACATAGACACACGGGCTGGAGAGATAGCACAGTGGGTAGGGCATTTGCCTTGCACGCGACCGACCCGGTTGACCCGGGTTCAATTCCTCCGCCCTCTCGGAGAGCCTGGCAAGTACCAAGAGTATCTCGCCTGCATGGCAGAACCTGGCAAGCTCCCCGTGGCTTATTCGATATGCTAAACACAGTTACAACAAGCCTCACAAAGGAGAGGTTAACTGGGCCCCCTCGAGCAAACCGATGAACAACGGGAGGACAGTGCTACATAGACACACATATATAAAGAATAAGTATATTAAGTTTATGAAGGGTGTATAATCAAATACATTTTATATAACTATATAGAGAGAATAATACTGTTTAAATTATTTCATCTTTCCATTTGAAATATAGCTCAATCATGGTCTTGACAGAAGTACAATTGTATTATAAAATGCATTTGATTGATTAATGGAAATAATTTAAATAATAACATTTTAATAATAAAACACATATTTCCAAAACGCTTCTGTATAATATAGGCAGACATTTAATAATTGAATATGAGGCATAAATTAATAAGTTTACAGATGTACTTATAAATTATTATACTTTATATAATTTAATTAGCATCTTTATATATAAAAGATATACTTCTATATATCTGTATATACTTATGTTTCAAGGATACATGTATTTTTACTCTTGATATACTTTGATGGACTTTTATATATCTGTGTATACTTATTACTTTTCAAGATAATTACATATTTCCATTTGAACACAAAGATATACATCTATATATCTGTGCATACTTACTACTTTTTCAAGATGCATATATATTTCCATTTGAAAGTCTTAGATGATAATACTCACCCTCACTTTTCATTTACCACTCTTTATATAACTGTGAGATGTTCAATCTTTCTCATTGTAATGGTCTGCCACATATTATCATTATCATCATCCATTTTACCAGGTCTTTTAAAATCAACTATAACTGCATATTAAAATCAAACCCATCAAAGCAAAATAATAATATGTAGTAAACTAAATTGCTACTGAACCTATTCTTTAGCAAATATTGTCTTTGATGCATTTTGTTTTGTACTGAATGTAGATTATTAGCATTTGTGACTCTAGTTAACATGTTTATACACAAATGTTTCTAATTTGGCTATATATTCTTGCATCATAAAGTAGAAAGAAACAGCAATCAGTTCACCTTCTGATGTTACAAGGCATGCTATGTCTTTTGAAAACAGACAAAAGTGCATTTATCCTGCTCTTCTCAAATAAGCACGGTCCATTTTACATGGAGATTGTTCTATTGTTATCCAGGTGGTTGTTAGAGGTTAAGGAAAGTTTTAAAATTTTATACTCTGGAAAATTCCTTAAGAAATATTCAGAGAGGTACTAATAAGAAAAATGTTAACAATTTTCCATAGTCCTTGTGCACCAAAACTTAAAAGATAGTTGGGAGGTTAACGTTTATTATCTAAAAAATATTTTGTGGGAGGTA